TTGAATGTTATTGACTTACTGAATGTTCTGAGTTTGCTAAACGGACTGAAAGACCTCTATAGTGTGACCAAGAAACAACAACTTCCTGTGAGACTTTAAAAATAAAAGCCTCTTGGAGATCGGCTTAAAACGAACTAAGCCATTTGGTCAAGACGTGGCTGCACACCGACAACCCTGCTGACCCGTTTATGTGACATGACCTCACCTCCACCTGCAGGTCTTCCTCAGGCTGCCGGATTATTGGTGTTACTATGGCAACCTTGCAGTGGGCAGGGACAGGGAGCGGCGGCGTCTGGCGCCTTTTAGGAGGCAGAGCGGGAGGACTGAAACAAGGGAAGAGAAAGAGAGAAACGGGTTAGAGGACACGTCCACAGAATGGACATGTTTGTCCAGATGGACACATCCCTGTGGTTCTCCAGGTCCCAGAGTGAGACTAACAGCTCCACCTGCTGGTGGTACGCAGGTCCTGCTGTTGCCACAATCAGCTGATCTGGAACAGAGACAGTTTCCTCTACACTGTCACCATATGCTTGACCTTTCCTAATCTGCTAAGTAATGGGGATCCATCGGTCTGGTGACTGGACTGGGCCACACCACACAACTGGACCGACAGGCCGACTTTTTTTTCTCTCTCTCTTGCTTCGGTGAAGGCGGACGCTTCTTTCCTCTGCTCCCTCCTTAACCCTAACCCTGAATCGATCTTGGAGAAGTTGCTAGTTTCGGCTCAGTGGAACGACCAAACTAATTTGGATGATTGGAACTGAGATGTATCAGAGAGACTTTAGGGAAAATTGAAATTTATAATCTTCCTGACCTAAGACATTCTGTTTCTGAATTGGCTTTCCCCGTGTGGCCTTGGAAGGGCTGCATATCTCTAATCTCCTTGAAGATATGTAAACATAACGCTCCTTCCCTCCTCACCCCTCCTGTTATCCATGCAGCTGTGGAGCTGAGAGCTCCCAAGGACATTCCTGGATAACAACATCTTCATCAGACTTTGCTGGGAGGCTGAGCAACCTGGTTTCATGGCCTTGTGATGTCACTGCCTTCACTCATGTCTTTGTTTTGCCCTTTGTTATTTTTGCTTGTATTTCCTTTTAATTCCTGTAAACCACTTTGAATTGCCTTGTTGCTGAAAATGTGCTATATAAATAAAATCACCTTTACCTCGGTCATTTATGGTCATAAATTGACCCAAACCAACTTTAGGACGAAATGTCCATGAGGACACCAAGACATTTTGATCAAAGTGGATCAGTTCCTTCTGGACAACCCAAACAGGTCCCCAAGGACACACTGTCCCCTGAGACACTGTCCTCTGCCTTTATGTCATTGAACAGACGTCTAGCCCGTCCAAAGAAAAGACAAAGCTTTCCTTTGATCAGAAATGAAAACATCATGTCCCACTTTGTCCCTCAACTCACACTGACCCAGTCCAGTTCTGGTTCTGATCTGGTTACAGTCTGATCTGCAGCTGGTCGTCTTTCTGGCTGCCTCTTCTTCTGCTCTCCACGCAGACAGGAAGTTAGTGGAGAGAGCAATTGTCTACTTCCTGTTTCTATTTGAGCTCACAGCTCCTCATTCTCACCGAACATTGGACTCAGCAGAACCAGAACCTGGAGAGGTTCTGCAGCAGACAGGTCCAGTTCAGTGTGAACGGTACCAAACCGGTCAGAGCTGGACTCACCTGAACGCAGACTCCTGAGGGGGCGTGGCCTGGGGGAGGGGCTCTGGGACGGGCATGGGGGGTTTGGGTGGGGCATGTGTCCCCGCCCCCTTTGTCTCCGTCCCTTCCCCCCGTCCCTCAGTAGAGGGACAGGGCGGCGTCCTGGTGGACATCTCCTGGTCTTCGACGACCCTGGATTGTGATTGGACAGGAGACAAGGGGGCAGAGCCTTCCCGTCTCTCTGCGACCAATCGGACGAGCTCCTGGAAACCAAAAGACAACATTTACTGTCCCCCTGGACAAACAGAGGATACAGAGGCTGTCCACCAAGGACACCTGTCCTCACCTTGGCGCTGTTCAGCACGCCCCTGATCACCGTGGTAACGCTCTCCGAAGACCCACCGTCGTCATGGGAGACGCCCTGAAGCATCACCCGGTCGGCCCAACGGATCAGCTGAGCAACAGCGCCGTAGAGACGGGCGAGACGGGCGGAGACGGTCTTACTGCGGGGACGGACAGCGTGGGGACAGGAGACATAGTGAGGACATGGTGAGGACAGGAGACAGGGGTAGACAGAGTGGGGACAGGAGACAGGGTGTGGACAGGATGAGGACAGCGTCCCCTCCCTCACCTGTCCAGCTCATCCGGCTCCAGCTCCACCAGCGCCTGGACGGCCTCCAGGATGCCGGTGGAGGCTCCGCCCACCAGGCCGCCCACCATGGACCGGTCCAGGCCCGGTTTGTGTCCTGCGGGT